ACCCCATTAATTGTGGGCCCCTTTTTTCCCCCCAGGGGGGGGGGGGGGGGGCATGCAGCTTAGCTGTGCCGAGTGCACCGTATGTACCCCAAGAAATGTTTTCATCTATTAAAGGTGAATTTCAGACAAACAACTAAACAAACTAAGAAATGCATATACGGGGATCTGTTTTCCATGCCAAATGATTTGTATTTCTGTTCATTCAGTCCTGAGCTTTACATAGCTCTGCCACAGAGCACAGCCTTATCTGGCAGGCCTGGAGATCTGATTCTTTACTTTTGCAGTTAATATGACTATGTATTGTTCCATCCCCAAGCTGTGAATGGACAGTGAAAGAAGAGGCAGTAGACTGATAATATCATCTCTCTGTAGCTGATCTCTCCTCCCATCAGCATGTTCAAAAATTTAGCACTACAGCAAAACTGACCTGGCTCCAGTTGCTGCTTCTCCCATTCCCAGTCTGAGCTTGGCTGCACAGGAACTGCAAAATATACCATGCCAATTTAGGCACTTAACACTGCTTTTATTATAATAATGCTATTAATGATGGATGACGATGATGATAATGCTATTAATGATGGATGACGGTGAAAATAATAATAATGATTTTACTAATGATGGATGATGACGATAATAATAATAAATTATATTAATGATGGATGATGATGGCAATAATAATAATTAATTATATTAATGATGGATGATGATGACAATAATAATAATTAATTATATTAATGATGGATGATGATGGCAATAATAATAATAGTTATTTATTAATACATTCCGAGCAGCATTGAGTTGTGTCTTTTATGTTTGTCTGGAGTTGGTCTTTGAAGTAGGCTTTGCTAGAAAATGTATATTATTATGGTATGGTCTACATTGCCCAGCCAGCATCTTCAAGTAAGAAACATTTATAAAATAGTTGTTTTTTTTTCTTGTGGTGTAAAGTGCATGACCTCACTTACTTTGTTGCTACGGTATGGAGAATTCCTAGTTAGGAAAAACAGTCCACTACTGACTGAATTTCAATGGAACATGTACTGTAGAAGTATGGAGGCTGCCATTTTTAACCTTCCCTTCTGAAAATCTGATATCTGGCTTTCATGCTGAGTTGGTGGCTACAGCATGTTCTAAGCGACTGACCAGGAGTAGTATGCAGATTTAGAACTTCACTTGGCTTTGTTTATCTACACGGTTGTTGTGACTTAGACCCTCAAATATTAAAGCTAGAGTCTGCTACACATCTAAAGATTTTATTGGCCGGTCAG